GGGGGGAGCGGTCGCGTAAATCAAAAAAATCGAGCAAGCACTTTTCCAACGAAAAAAATATCGCGCAACCTCTCCTTCCCGAAAAGAAATATCGAGCAAACACACAAAAAAACATTGCGTGCAGGGGTTGTTGCAAAAAAATAGATATCCTGCAACATAAATTCTTGAAATCCCCACCCCCCCTCCCCCTCTATAGGTCTGTCACCCAACGTTGCGTGACAGACCTTTAGAACGTCTGCATACCCACTTGGAAGTTTTCTTTCGCCATTCGAATTACTTTGCTCTCTTTTCCGAATAAGACATACTCTTGACTTCAGGTAAGAACCAATAGATAGAGGATATTACATGGGTGCGCGGAGATACGAAATTTATCTTCGAGTGTTGAAAAGATTTCTCACAAGTGAGCGCAGCGAACGAGTGAGAGATTTTCAACACGAGAAGATAAATTTCGTATCTCCAAGCGCCCATGTAATATTTTGTTTATTACATAATTATCAATGAAAGTATGTTTTGGCTTTTTCAGGCAATTCTTTCCGTGTCAGTTTTTGAATAGCCATCGCAATGGTGTTATTTTCACACGTGAAAATAACATGTTATTTTCACGTGTGAAGATATCAATTTTTCGAAATAGAGAAAAATAGATATTTCATTGGTAATTATATAATAAATCGTTTTATTTATCCCTACACTCTAAATTAACAGAAATTATAAATGCGAGGCGTGAAGTCCGGTTTCGCGGACGAAATAGACTCACTCCAACCAACTTTAATTAAGCTTTTTTTTTTGCGTTCTGAAATACGAATTTGATTCGGAAACTTGAAGAACGAATATCCGAGTGATTTTTTCTTGAATTTTTTCCCTAAATGTTTTGTTTTTGAGGTAGGGGTTCTTTAAAATATGCAGTAACAATTTGCTGCCCGGCCTCGTGGACGACGACAAGGCAGATTTCATTTTTTACTCCATGGGACCAAACCTGCAAAAATATTTTCCAATGCGTTTTCTACTGGTTTCATAGATAAGTATTATAGTTCGCTAGATGAACTAGCTTAGCTCATTGCTTAAATGTGTCATTAAAAAGGGTATTACAGGAATGTAAAAAATAATTTTAGCTTCCCGAAATAAGCTAATAACAGGCGTCACCTTTTGATGTCACATTTCTGACATTATAATATTTTACGGATAATTACTCATGTTTAAGCGTAATTTTCATTAAACAACAAGCTTATTTTCCCCTCTATTCTCCTGGGGATCGTACCGAAAGAAGGAAGTGATCATTTTCTCAGATTCTCGGGACATATTCCATGCACGCCCTTATCAAATTAACCAGTGTCGCATTCCCGATCCTCTGGTGTAAAGGCGCGATTAATACACGGAGCAATACCGTATTTTCTCTGCAAATTGTCTCGCAATGTGACACAAGTTGCAAGAGCGTGTACACGGTGCAACGGAGACGTAATCGCTGCCAAAAGGAAAAAACGAATTCTACTTTCTGCAACGATTGCTGCAGGTTGTCTCGCAACATTTTTCCGATTGCGCTGTAGGTTACACGCGGTAATGCTAGTCCATGCAACTTGTGTCGCATCGCCGTTGCTCCAGTGTAATCGCGCCTTAATTCAACCAATTCATAACACATACGATGAATGCTGACTTTATTGCGATCGGAGCGACACGAAGCAGTGAAAACTACAAATTATTACATATTGGCTTAAATTGGGGAGAAGAATAATACAAAAACCTGAAGTAACCTATAATACAGTAACCTATTTTTATTTTACTGTACCTCCAGGCTAAAAAAACTCCAATTTAGACTGCAAGGTGACTAAGGTCACTACTAAAATACAAAGGCTAACTGAACGCGATTCTATGTTTATACACTCACAGGGCTGTCAACCCCCAAGATATTCAAATCTGGAGAAATGATAGGGAAGGGAAGTGACGTCACAGCGGAAAAAAGCGCGCGAAAAGACGTCTTTCGCTTTGTAACATTTGATATGATTGGTTTATTTCTGACCAATCAGATTATCGCTTATATTGCAATGGCCTGCTTGCAAGAACAGTTTATGGGGAACGTTTTGATTTTGTTAGCGATGTAAAATAACACAAACAACACAAAATGATTGGAATTTTAATTATGGTTGTGAAAGTCGAGTCTCACAAGAAATGGTCAGCTTCGGCGATTATCCGGGAGAATTGAGACTCTAATCTGGAGACCAGGAGATACGGTCCAAAATCTGGAGACAGCCCTGCACTCATTCTTAATTTATCACTAAACGCTAATTTATATGCGAGGAAACAAATGATAGATTTTATTTATTTTGTATTACTTTTCTTGTTGCTGAATAATTTTGAATTCATTTCTGTTTATTCTAGTATTGAAAGCGACCTGACTGTTTTTTAGTTTGTTTACTGTAAGCAATCCTTTGTTTTCTTTATTTACAAAGCAATGGCTAAACCAATCAAGCTGGTGCTTTGTGGGGGAGGCAATGCAGCTCATGCATGGGCTGGTATAGCTTCATCTCAACCAGACACTGATGTATGTGTTCTAACTTTGTTCCAAGATGAAGCAGAGAGATGGTCTAATTCTCTCAAGGAACATGACTTCACTGTAAACCTGTACAGTAAAGGAGAGTGCTACAAGAAACTGAAAACCAAACCAAGACTAGTTACTAAGAAACCAGAGGAGGTAGTTCCCGGATGTGATGTCATCGCCTTCGTGTTGCCAGCCTTTGCACATGAGCAGTACTTAAATGCGATCAAACCACACCTTGAACCAGGCATGATTCTTGTTGGTTTTCCTGGACAATCTGGGTTTGAGTTTCAGGAACGAGCCATTCTAGGAGATATTACAAAGCAGATTACTCTCATTAACTTTGAATCATTACCATGGGCAACAAGAATTATGGAATTTGGTAAAGATTGTGAAGTACTTGGTACTAAGGATGCCATGATGGGTTCTGCGCAGACTGGGTCAGTTACTCCAAGGAGAGATCCATTCACAGTTGTCCAGAAGCTGATTGGTGAAAAGCCAACCCTAATAACAAAAGGCCATCCTCTTACAGCCAATCTTATGTCTGTCAATGCATATCTGCACACTAGTCTGACGTACAACAAGTGGTTCACTTGGGATGGTACCCCTCTCAACAAACAACCATTGTTTTATCATGGTGTAACAGAGGGTACTGCAGCATTGTTAGGCAGTTTATCAGATGAAGTGGTTCAGATAGCAAAAGCTATCCAGGCTCAGAGCCCTGATACTGATATGTCAGAGGTAATTGACATGCACACTTACTATAAAGCCCGCTATCCTGATGACATTGAAGACAAAACCTCTCTGCTATCTCGTATCAGAACCAATGCAGCTTACAAGGGCTTGACACACCCAATGATAGAAACCAAGGAAGGGAAGTTTGTACCCAACTATACCAACTACCGTTTCCTGACTGAGGACATACCATTTGGGCTTGTAGTGATCAGAGGGATTGCAGAGGTAGTGGGTGTGGCCACACCAAATATTGATAAAGTGCTCACTTGGGGTCAGGAGCAGATGAACAAGGAATATCTTGTGGATGGGAAGATCAAAGGAAAAGATGTGAAAGATACAAGAGCACCTCAGAGATATGGATTCACTACTCTGAAAGACATTATTGGACACTAGTAGATAATGACATGAGCCATTAATGATACTGGGTCATTGTACTTGATATTTGGATTATATTAGTGTGAATCAATTTTGGGACGTTTGTATTCGAATTTTTGATCCCCCAACTTATATTGGGTGTATAGAAATGCCTCTATTGAACTTGAATTTTATTTTAGCCATGATGTCAATAGTTGCTATAGAAAAAGTATTTAATAAAAATTATGAGAATTATGATAAATATATGTTTGTAGTTTTATGGCCATGAAGTTAGTAGCTATTACAAGTCAGTAATAATGTTTATAAAATATTTGTTGGTGATGGGGTGGGCAGGGGGCAGTGCAGAGTTTAACCCTTCTTCCTGGAGTAAGTTTCTTCCTGGGCCAAGTTGTGACAAGGATGGATAGCACTATCCTATGGATAAATCTTGTCTGCTGGATATATTTATTGGATAACAGCACCACTTTTTCCACTGGATAAAGATTTATCCATTGAATAGCACCATCCACCCTTTGTACTACTGGGCCCTGATCAATAGCTGCAATAGTTTTACAAAGAATACGATACAAAATACAAAATTTTCTCACATTTCAGCAGTTATTAAATTCAAATTCCTCTAAATTTATGCAGTCTTTTGGAAGCGAAATGTACACAAGACTGTCAATGTCAAAATAAATAGAGTATACTTAATGACGTCACCAGCTCTTCAACTGACAGACTTTCTTCGAGGTCATTCGTAGTTGAAGTGAACAAAACGAAACAAAACAGCCGCAGCCTACAGGATAACCCGCTAGGATCTTTCAGGTAGGCTACAATTCTCACCTCTATAAAAACGCATGGTGAGATGACCTTTAAAAGTATATTCGGCGACTCTTCTTGGAAAATCAGACATTTGTATCGCGACAACAGGTTTTGATTTCAGTACTGTTCTCTAATAATAAGGCCAAGCTGTTGTGAAATACCAGGACTGTATAGTTGTCTACGACTCTTGATAGTCTAGAAAAAATACTAGTATCGTTACGGCTTCTGGATCGAGCATATCTCGGGGAATTAATAATGGGTAGAATTATAGCTGAAACTGATATGTGAAGAAGTCGTTTTGACTTAGTTCACTGTAGCTTGCTTCTTGTAGGCACTCGGCCTAGCTGCTAATCATGATGCAATCCATCAGTCAAATGTAAGTGTATTAATATGAAATCTCGTATCGAGTAAATAAGATGAATTTATCGGTCGAGATCAAGCCCGTCCATGAAAGTCGCGTCGATCAGTTGCTTCACGAACGTTCCAACCTTCCATATTTATGCCACAGGAAGCCCAAGCAGGGGCTGTTGAGTTATGCAACAAGCTTGAGCAATGATTTGCTCACTTGAAGGATGTTTTTTGTATTTGATTCTGCAAGTACAGCATTTTTAGTTTAGTAACCAAGGTTTTTTTGACCACAGAGATGTACTCATAGTTTCCGACTCATGTTTTGTGTGCCGCGTTCGACACTGCCTTTTCTGCAGCTGACTGCATCTTTCCTTGACACATTTCTTTTGAAAAAAATAAGGGAAAGCTATGTGAGAGTGTGAATAATAATGAAAATGTTTAAACATGAAGCTTTCAACATTGAGGTATATACAAAGAGAAATATTTGAAATAAATTACATGAAATAATAATAATAATAATAATAACAATAATAACAATTTATATGGCAAGGCAGTCTAAAACAAAGTGCAAAGCTTATGACGTTTAGACTATCTTTAATCATATTATATATATTTATATAAACCTATGTGCAGGAACGTTGCCTTTGTAAGAAATTAATTATTTATAAAGCAATTAATTAATTTGAGTAATTATTTTGAAGGTACGACTGATATTACTGTGTTGTGACTATATACTAAAACAGTTATTTTCATCTATCTAGGGGAATTTAAAATCAAAATAATTGTATATGACAAAGTTCTTGCAATTAGGAGTGTTTAAAAATAATCACTAAAAAATAATGTATGACAAAA